ATTTAATTCAGTTTTTGTGGATAGAAAAGGCAGATAAAAAAAGGTATTGTTGACTTGAATTTAATTCAGTTTTTGTGGATAGAAAAGGCAGATAAAAAAAGGTATACTTGACTTGAATTTAATTCAGCTTTTGTGGATAGAAAAGGCAGATAAAAAAAGGTATTGTTGACTTGAATTTAATTCAGTTTTTGTGGATAGAAAAGGCAGATAAAAAAATGTATAGTTGACTTGAATTTAGTTCCGTTTTTGTGAATAGAAAAGGCAGTTTTCATGCCTTTAAATTTTTGCAGTATCTCTTTAGGATTGTGATTTTCCAAATGTAGCTTAGATGTGTCACAAGGCCGAAAGCAGAAAGCACCCAGTGAGAATCGAACTCACTACTCAGTCGTAATTGGTCTAGCGGGACAAGCTCGCTAACCATTACACCGCCTCGAGGTGCCCTATCCCTACAGGATATAGGCGATCCTGGCTATCCACCTCCCTCTATCTCTTGTAGCTCTTAATAAGTTTTGTCTTTTTGTTATTTCTCTCATACCCTGTTCCGCTATCCACTTAAGTGACGGAAAAAAAACAATGTTCGACTTTGAAACGATAGCAATACTTGAATAATCAACTCATAACTTTACCGTCGCCTAGAAAATACTTCCAAAACTGCTGCTGTATGCATTGTCAGTTTTGACAGAGACTCGTTTGTTTTATATTATCTAATCCCTTCTAGAGTTTGTTCATAGGAAACTGTTTTGCTATCATTTCTGATTTGAATTTCAAAGATTTCACATTTCTTATATTTGGTGGTCTCTGATTTTAATTTTTCACGCATTTTTTTTTTAAATTTTTTCTTAAATCGGTATCATCCCATGCAAGGCAGTCAGTCATTTAAGTGCCATGCTTGATACAGGCGATCATGTATCTTTCGATATGACGGTTCCGTATAGGGTACACGTTCGATTCCTGCCGGAGGACGCATATTTTCTATGAAAATTTCTCGGACATTCAAGCCGGTAAATGTTGTTAATACTGTTTATTGCATTTACTTAAATATTTGCATATATAAAAAGAGCATACAAACATAAAAAATGTCTTGAAAATGTCTTATATATATATATATATATATATATATATATATATATATATATATATATATATATATATCGTTAAATAAAAGAAAGGTTGCTGCCCAAATATATATAAATATGTGTGTGTGTGAGAGAGAGAGAGGTGTGCACGTTGGAGTAGTGGATCGGTTTGAGGAATCGGAGAGCCGAGTTCGAATTCTAGTCGACTCCAGTATGAACCCTGTTCTTCTTCCTCCATGGTTAAATATGGTTAAATAGAAGGACAGACTGGGTTCTATAGCCTTGGATGACAACTGGTCTAGGAGAAGGAGAACTCTGAATTCAAAACCTGCGGAGGGTCGTTTGGGGACCTTCTGGCACGTACTGCAACAGGTCTCTGTATTCGACCCTTCAAAAAGTGTGATTGGTCATGCGCAAAGCCTTCACCACTATAATCAAATCAAATTATATGTGCTGGTAATTTTCTATGTCAAAATAACAAAACATTATCTTCGATGGTGAATATCCTTGTTAAAATGGCCGTATAACTATTCTGAAGATGGCTCATGTGAGCTTAGTAGAAACTTAATTAAACAATATCCAAATGTTGGACAAATTTTGTTTTTATTTTCACCCGAAGCAAAGATTCGAGCATTAGAACGGCTCATGATCAGACATAATATACATTCATGGTCTGTAATATTTAATAACAATATATATATATATATATATATATATATATATAAGTGAACATTGAAGTCAACACTCAGAAGTGACAGGTTGTTTCATGCTAGACGCGAGTGTTAGTTTATTTCTCGACTTTTTATATATATGGGGCAGTGGCGCATTGTGGGTAGTCCGTTCTCGCGGTTATTTTTGCGGGGAGTCGCTTATTTATTTACTTATTTAGTTAGTTTTTTATTTATTTGGGTTAATTTATTTTATTTGTTTTTATTTATTTTCATTTTTTATTTTATATATTTATTTATTCTTTTCGGTTTTCGATATTTTATCAACGTAGTAACAATTTGGGAGGGGAGAGATTTGCTTAATTCTCCTATTTAATATTTTGTTTTGGTCTGGGAAGATAAAGCTATTTATTTGTCCAATTTTTGGATTGATTGCTGTAGTCTATTCTGTTATTTTGGCGGGAGGAAGATTTTAATTTATTTATTATTTTATTTATTTATTGGGATTGATTATTTTTACTTGTTTTTGCTTATTTATTTTTATTTTTATTTGTTCTAACGATTATTTTAGCGGGGACGACTTGTTAATTTGTTCATCTATTTATTTATTTGGATTATTTTATTTTACTTATTTTTTCTTATTTATTTATTATTTTTTATTTTTTATTTTGTATATTCTTATTCACTCTTTTCGGTTTTCGATTTTTAAGTAACGTAATGATTATTTATTTAATCACTTATTTTATCGTGATAGGTATTTTTTCGTCGAATTTTTTGAATTGATTGTTGTAGTCTATTCTATTCTATTGGCGAGATTAGTTTATTAATTTGTTTTTGTATTTTTTTTATTTTTTATTTAGTTTACTTATATATTTGGATTGATTTTTTTACCTGTTTTTGCTTATTTATTTATTTTTTATTTATACTATTTCGTCTATTCTAATGGGAGTGGCTTGTTAATTTGTTTATTATTTGCCTGGGTTAATTTATTTTACTTGTTTTTTATTATTGTTTTGTTTTTTATTTATTCTATTCAACTTTCGATTTTTAAGTAACGTAGGAAAAATTTGTTTTCAAATCTGCATTTTGAGATGAGTTCAGATCGTTTATTTAGTAATTTATTTTGGTCTGGCTTGGTAAAATCACGGTAAGCCACGGTAAAATCACCAGATAATGAAGAAAAAGTATACATAGGATTAACTGAAGAACCCTGGAAACAAAGAAACTATGCACACAAAACATCTTTCACAAATAGTAAATACGCGAATCACACAAAGCTTTCTAAGTATATCAAGGAAATTAAAAACAAAATGCAAATCACACCAAAAATATCATGTAAAATAAGAATAAGATCATCAGCCTACAAGAATCAATCCAAAGCATGCAAACCTTGCTGGGGGAAAAATAGCTATTATTACCTTCCCAGACCAAAATAAATAGCTTCATCTAACACAGGGAAAGTTGGTTCTCTGTGGCGTGTCAGAAGGTTTTTTCTCGCCAGATTCTATCCTTCAAATCTACAAATCAACCATTCGTCCTTGCATGGAATACTGGTGCTCCCGCAGTTCATTTCGAGGTCCCCGACAAAATCCAGAGACGCCTAAGCAACGTGGTTGGTCTTGATCTGGCATCCCGTCCGCAGCCGCTATGTCACAGACGTGCTCTTTTCTGTCTTTTCTACAAATACTTTCACGGTAACTGCTCCGACGAGCTATTTTCACTGGTTCCAAAACAGCATGAATTTAAGCGACCTACTAGGTTGGCATCTCGGTCCCACCCTTTCACTGTCGAAATGACTAAATCTCTTCTACTCCAACAGCTTCTTATCTCGCACCTCCCTTCGGTGGAACTGCCTTTCTCGTACTTGCTTACCTGATAGCTATCATCATTCAAATGTAATGTCAATCGACATCTTCTGATGCCTTGACCTTGATCCCTGTCCTTCACTTTTTCCTTTTCCCAAACACTCCTCTTTACTCTTACACTTACTCTCTGTAACTCCTTGCGTGCTAGTGGCACTCCTGACTTGCTTGGGGTGATTTGCTTAAAAAAAATGAACTCCTTCCTTGGAAGTAGCAATAGTGCAGTTAGATACAATTTTTCGTCTATGAAAACGGGGTTGTAAGATGGAAAATAATCTGTCATCCACACGGACGCGGTTTTCTTACCTCCTACTTTTCCTCCACCACGTCCTCTTTTTCCTCCTCCTTCTCCTCCTCACTTCAATTTTCTTACCTCCTACTTTTTCTCCATCACATCCTCTTTTTCCTCCTCTTTCTCCTCCTCAGTCCAGTTTTCTTATCTCCCACTTTTCCTCCATCACATCATCTTTTTCCTCCTCCTCCTCCTACTCCTCACTCCTGTTTTATTACCTCCTACTTTTCCTCCAACATACCTGCTTTTTTCTCCTCCTTCTCCTCCTTCTCCTCCTCGCTCCAGTTTTCTTACCTCCTACTTTTCCTCCATTACATCCTCTTTATCCTTCTCCTCCTCACTCCAGTTTTCTTACCTCCTACTTTCCTCCATCACATCCTCTTTTTCCTCCTCCTTCTCCTCACTCTAGTTTAATTAACTCCTACTTTTTCTCCACCACACCTACTTTTTCCTCCTCCTCATCCTCTTCACGCTAGTTTATTAACTCCTACTTTTTCTCACTCATAACTTCTTTTTCCTCCCTTTTTCACTAATTTTGCCTCCTAATTTTTCTCTCTTACATCTCTTCTCCCCTTCCTCCTCCTCTGTAGTTGCCTACCTCCTACTTTGTTTCCTTGACGCACGCTTTCTCCTTCTCTCTCATATTTTCTTACCTCCTACTTCTCTTCCCTCTCCCTCTATTTAATTCTTCCTGTTATCACATCGCTTTCTCAATCAGAACTCGAAAATGATTCTAGCACAAATGTGCCAAAATTACCAGATACTACACTCTGATCTTAAATAGAAAAGCCTAATTATTCTACATATAAGCAAGCACAGTAATAGCATAGGTGAAATCCAACCAAAAACAATATTTTTGAAAAAGTGTTCACGGAAATGCAATTTTTGCTTGGCAATTAAATACAAGCGAAATCGACAGGGATTTGTAGTTACCCCATGAGCAAGAAATAAATTTCACCTCCAAAGCGCTACTGTCTTCAGTAATTGCTGACAAGTAGAGTCTTAAATAAACAAGTGAATATTTACTCAGAATTTTTTGAAGTAATTGAATAGCGATAATTTATATGGACATTGACGCCATTGTGCACTTAGTGACCGTAATTCACAATGAGATACACACGAACAAAGATAGATAGATAGATAGATAGATAGATAGATAGATAGATAGATAGATAGATAGATAAACAAGCACACTGATATGAAAAGCCTGAGATAAGAATTTTGAATAATATAACAGACTCAGATAGATAAATCTATAGATATGAAAAGACTGAACTAGCTAGCTAGCTAGCTAGCTAGATAGATAGATAGATAGATAGATAGACACTAGAACATAGATAGATAGATAGATAGATAGATAGATAGATAGATAGATAAAGAACAGATTGAGATAGATAGATAGATAGATAGATAGATAGATAGATAGATAGATAGATAGATAGATAAAGAACAGACTGAGATAGATAGATAGATAGATAGATAGATAGATAGATAGATAGATAGATAGATAGATAGATAGATAAGCACAGTGATTTAGATATGCAGAGCCTGAAATATGAATATTGAATGATATAACAGATTCGGATAGATAAATATAGAGATATATAGAGACTTTGCTAGCTAGCTAACTAGAAAGAGACTATAGATAGATACTAGAAATTGATAGATCAATACGATAGATAGATAGATAGATAGATAGATAGATAGATAGATAGATAGATAGATAAAGAAGCACAGTGATTTAGATATGCAGAGCATGAAATATGAATATTGAATGATATAACAGATTCGGATAGATAAATATATAGATATATAGAGACTTTGCTAGCTAGCTAACTAGAAAGAGATTATAGATAGATACTAGAAATTGATAGATCAATACTAGAGATAGATAGATAGATAGATAGATAGATAGATAGATAGATAGATAGATAGATAGATAGATAAAGAAGCACAGTGATTTAGATATGCAGAGCCTGAAATATGAATATTGAATGATATAACAGATTCGGATAGATAAATATATAGATATATAGAGACTTTGCTAGCTAGCTAACTAGAAAGAGACTATAGATAGATACTAGAAATTGATAGATCAATACTAGAGATAGATAGATAGATAGATAGATAGATAGATAGATAGATAGATAGATAAAGAAGCACAGTGATTTAGATATGCAGAGCCTGAAATATGAATATTGAATGATATAACAGATTCGGATAGATAAATATATAGATATATAGAGACTTTGCTAGCTAGCTAACTAGAAAGAGACTATAGATAGATACTAGAAATTGATAGATCAATACTAGAGATAGATAGATAGATAGATAGATAGATAGATAGATAGATAGATAAAGCACAGTGATTTAGATATGCAGAGCCTGAAATATGAATATTGAATGATATAACAGATTCGGATAGATAAATATATAGATATATAGAACTTTGCTAGCTAAATAACTAGAAAGAGATTATAGATAGATACTAGAAATTGATAGATCAATACTAGAGATAGATAGATAGATAGATAGATAGATAGATAGATAGATAGATAGATAGATAGATAAAGAAGCACAGTGATTTAGATATGCAGAGCCTGAAATATGAATATTGAATGATATAACAGATTCGGATAGATAAATATATAGATATATAGAGACTTTGCTAGCTAGCTAACTAGAAAGAGACTATAGATAGATACTAGAAATTGATAGATCAATACTAGAGATAGATAGATAGATAGATAGATAGATAGATAGATAGATACTTAACACTCAGATAATGAGCTGAAATAGATACGTGATCTGTTTAACACTGCGTAACTGGACAGATGAATGGACTGTCCTTCTATTTTCATTTCTCCCAACTCATCATAATAGAAGGGGGGGGAATAATTAAGAGGAGAGGAAAAAAGAAAGAGATGGAGAAATGAATGTGTTTAATGTGGCTACTGACTTCATTCTTTTCTGTCCTTACTACAGCCTCAAGCTTCGCTCTCTGCCAACGAAAGCATGGCAAATATAATAGCAGACACTACTGGGTTTATTTACTCACCTCCCCACAGTGTGTCATTTTAAACGATAGGTTGCCATCGGTCAGTCTAAAATGGCCAGGTACCCGCGACCATATTCACGCTGGCGTCGTTATACCACCGACCCTATTTTAGTACAGTAAAGAAGGCACTTCCACTGGATTGAAATCCCCGGGGCTCCAGGCATCCATCAGGGCTATTTCGGTTAGTCAGTTATGTGCCATGCGGGATACGCTCTTATCCGATAATGAATCTTTCGATACATGACCGACGAGGCAGATTTTTACCGCATTTCTTTCTGCGGTAGACCAGTTGCCATCCAAGGCTATAGAGACAGGTCTGTCCTGGTATTTAACCATAGCTGGGGGTGAAGAAGGAGTGAATGTAAGTGAATGTAATGGATTCGACTGGAATTCGAACTTGGCTCTCCGATTCCTCAATCCGAGCCGCTATTCAGTACTCCACCAGAGCTATTTACGACTGAAAAACACCAGAGTGGCGAAGAACAGTTAGTACACTTTGATCCCAATAAGAAGGCCGGTATTTACCTATCCTCACAAGCTGGTAGGATTTTGCGCAATGCCAGTTCAACGTAGGGGTGCTCCTACGCGTATATGTAGTGAGTTCGACCCTCACTGGATTCCCCATACTTTTGGCCTTGTGCCACAACTAAGCGGCGGTTAATAAATATACTCTTTTATAAGCGAAGCTTCAGTATCCACTAATGTTTCCTCTTTGGTACAATGAAGGAGGTGCTATCGTAAGTTGGGGATCCCCGGAACTTTGACCTCATAAAGTTGAGTTATCAGCGCGCCCATCTCGCTACCGTATATGACACAAGATCGAGGTTTATACCACGGTAAAAATTGTTCAAGACAGCCTCCCTTCACATTTCCCGTTTTGGGGTAATGGCTCCAATCTCCTCCTGAAGGAGAGGTACTACCTTGGAGAAATGTCCTATCCCCTCCTCTGGCTTGTGCTTAATATTATTTTGAAACTTTTTCGGCAAAGAGGAAGGGGAAAGAAATACTACACAGTGATCCGCAGTTTACTCGCCTCCCCACGCTAATAAGGTGACACAAGGTCGGTCTTAAATCGGGGTGCCCAAGGGCGTCAATGCAAGTTAAAGGGAAAAAATACCCGACACCACTGTCACGCTGGCCTCAGTATCCACTAAACTTCCAATAGACGGCGCCAGTCTTCCTTACAGCTGTTAGATGAATAGTGAACAGTTACTACACTTTGATCCCATCTCGGAGGCCTGTATCAAAAGTTCCTCTTTTGATTCGTTTTCTAATAGTAATGGCAATGGTGATATTAACTGACAGAATGCTTGAGATTTGCAGGCCGGAAACACTAGAATCAAGCAGACGCGGAAGTTTAAATATCTGGGAAACGTTTTGACAGAGGAAAGTAAGTGCTACACTGAGATCTGTAGACATGTTAGGATGGCCAAGGACACATTCCAAAAGCTTGGCAGAGTATTGCGAGACAGGTGGATTTCTTTGTTAACAAATAAAAGAATACTTTACGGCAACCAATGTGGGACGGTCTCCTCAAAGATGAAGAAGAGACTCGAGACGACGGAGATGTGGTTCTACAGGATATCATGGGCCGAGCGTGTGAGCAACGATGAGGTCTTAGAAAGGTTGCAAACAAGGAGGAAGCTTATATTTAACATTAGGAAGAAGCAGCTGAAGTTTCTGGGACACATAATGAAAAAGAACGGCCTGTAGAATCTGATACTCACGGGTCGAATAGAGGGAACGAGAGACAAGGGAAAGCAGCGCGTGACATACCTGGCGGGCTTGATCAGTTGGATGACAGAACGTGGTCTGGGGGAGGAACCGGAGGGAAGGAATTTTTGAGAGCTGCAAGGGATAGAGGGAGGTGGAGAGTTATAATCGCCTACGTCGCGAAAGGACATGGCACATAAAACAAAAAAAAAGATATTAACCGTTTCCCTACGAGGAAACATTTGGCATCCTCTGTCCGAACAACCAGTACTGTTTTCCGTTGAAATTTATAAAATAGCTCTTTTAAATAGGTTTCTCAAGTCCAGTAGCTTTTATCGCTCTTTCCAGTATTGATGGTGGGTGGGGAGTTCCTTCCTAACCTTTTGCTTGAAGTAGTGTGGAATATCGAGATCTTGATTATGTCATTATTTTCCATTCTCAAGCCCAGTAGCTGTTATCACTCTTTTCCAGTATTGATTTTCCAGTAACATTTTGTTTGATGGGGAATTTCAACATCTTGATTACATTGTTTTGTTTCAAGTAGTATGGAATGACAACATCTTCGTTTGAAGTAGTGTGGAATATCGACATCTTGATTATGTCATTATTTTCTATTCTCAAGCCCAGTAGCTGTTATCACCCTTTCCAGTATTGATGGAAGTTTCCTTCCTAACATTTTGTTTGAAGTAGTGTGGAATATCAACATCTTGATTATGTCATTATTTTCTATTCTCAAGCCCAGTAGTTGTTATCACTCTTTCCAGTATTGATGGGGATTTCCTTCCTAACCTTTTGTTTGAAGTACTGTGGAATATCAACATCTTGATTATGTCATTATTTTCTATTCTCAAGCCCAGTAGTTGTTATCACTCTTTCCAGTATTGATGGAAGTTTCCTTCCTAACCTTTTGTTTGAAGTACTGCGGAATATCAACATCTTGATTATGTCATTATTTTTCTTCTCAAGCCCAGTAGTTGTTATCACTCTTTCCAGTATTGATGGGGATTTCCTTCCTAACCTTTTGTTTGAAGTACTGTGGAATGTCAACATCTTGATTATGTCATTATTTTTTATTCCTAACATTTTGCCCATTAGTTGAATATCAACATCTGATTTCCATTATTTTATTTGAGTAGAAGTTTCCTTCCAGTATTGGTAGGTTTTTTTTTGTTTGAAGTAGTGTGGAATATCAACATCTTGATTATGTCATTATTTTATCTTCGAGTTATAGGTCATTTATTTTATTAACATTTTTATGCTTTGCTGTCTACCTGGTTTTTTTAATGGACCATAAAAAAATTTATCAAAGTTTTCTATTTTTTTGTCTCCTATCTTTATTTTAGTTTTACTTCTAAAATCTTAACTCTTAAAGACTCTTATCATTTTATTCTGTCGTCTTCCGTCATGAAACTAACTACCCAGTGGGAGTAAAAAAAAAATGGCTGATCCGATTCAATGCCTCGAATAAAACAAACTAGTTATATTCCATCATCGGCGATCGAACCCCAAATTATCGCCGTTACGATGAACAGGTATCCCCTCCGTGAGGGTCCGTGACTTGAAAGACGATTGGGTTTATGCTTACTCCTGACGTCAAATGGGATTCTTCCATACGATCCATCGGCAAAATGCTCGCCTCCGTGTTCCGTTCCAGTGACTCCTCTTTTTCTCTGCTTCCTCGCCCAGACCACGTTCTCTCATCCACTTGCTTATGTCCGCCAGGTATGTCGCACACTGCTTTCCCTTGTCTCTCTTTTCTTCTATTTGACCCGTGAGTATCAGATTCTCCAGGCCGTCCTTCCTCTTTATGTGTCCCAGAAACTTCAGCCTACAGGTTCTTTATTTTTATGTGCCATGTCGTTTCAGGACGTAGGCGATCATGGCTCTCCACTTCCTCCCTGTATCCTTTTCAGCTCTCAGCAAGTTCTTTCCCTCTACTTCATCCCCCAGACCATGTTCTGTCATCCACTGGCTTCAGCCCACCAGTTATGTCACGTACTGCTTTCCCTTGTCTCTTGTTCCCTCTATTTGACCCGTAATCAGGCCGAAAATCGAGAACTGTAGCCATGCCTGTGCGGGAGCTGCCAGTCTTCGCTTCCCTGTCTCGATAGAGTTCAAAAGCCTCTCCGTGTCCTTTTGGGGCGATGAATTATTCCCACCTTCAAACTTCAAACGGGCGGGATGTGGTGGAGTTAAAGAAGTTGTGCCAGTAGTATTATTAGTACAAGGACTTGTATCCAAAAATACTGGTTTGAGTCTGTCAATGCTGACACTTACAGACTTCTCATTAATCTTTAGAGTGAAATCTTTGGCTGCATGGGACCCTGTAAGGACCAGCATACGGTATCGTTAGAGGGTTTTTTTTTTAACCCCGACGAACAAAAACATAATCGGTGTTTTGGAATAAAGACAGGTTTTTTTGGTGTTTTTTTGACGCACGTGTTGGAGAATACGTAAGATTAAACATTCTGTTCTGTAAATCACAAACAAATTGTGTCATCGGTGTAGATGATGGATGCTGGTTATCGACCATTTGTCCAGCTAATACTAAAGCAGTGCCGTAAACTAGTTCCGATGCTGCACAATCTAAATCCGCCTTTAGACGTTTCGCAACATGAACATTATTAAAACCAGTCTTTCAAGCCATGTGGTATTATCAGCATTTGCCATTAATGAAGACTGCGGTCCACTATCTGTTGTAATAACTGAAGGACATCCGAAATTCGCTATCCAATCTGGAAGTATTGCTTTAGCAACAGCATCAGCAGTTGTAGATTTTAATGGAACTGCGGCGGGCCATTTTCTAAAACGATCTACTATAGTTAGAATATATTCTTAGCCGTTAAATTTTTCAAGAGGCCCGACTAAATCAACATGTATGTGGGAAAAAAACTACCGTCGGGGGGTTTAATAAATTACCAAGGGGTGATTTGGTAGGCTTAGTTATTTTTTAGGTCTGAATGTTTATAGAGGTTTTGGTCCAATTCCTGATGTCGATTGACATATTAGGCCAGACGAAACGATCGGAAATTAATCTATAAGTAGCTCGATGTGAGCAAAAGAGTGATAAATGCTCGAAATCAGAACGTCGAAGAGTTAGTGGAATATACGGACGAGGATGTTTAGTGGAAACATCGCAAAATATAATCTCGTCGCTGAAAGGAAGCGGACGTTGCTCGAACAGCAGTGACGTTGAGTTTTTAACTTTGTCAAATGTGCTATCCGTTTTGTTGCTCATGGGCAATGCTACGAAAATCTAATTGTAAGGAGTTAATAGAATTTAGATTCGTGCGTGACAAGATATCAGCAACAATATTGCTGTCACCCTTAATGTATCTTATATCAGTAATATACTGAGCAATATAGTCTAAATATCTTATGTGTCGCGAACTGCATTTGTCCGATTTGGTGTGTAAAGAATAGACCAGAGGTTTATGGCCCGTAAAAATGATAAACTCTCTGGCTTCAAGCAGATGTCGAAAATGTTTAATAGACAAATAAATCGTGAGTAATTATTCCCATCATCTAAGCTCTCTCTCACGGGCGGGATTTACCGAGCCTGTCGCTGTTTTTTCGTTACAACCATGGAAGGTGTTCGGAAGAACTACATACTTTGGTCACGTTAGGTCTAACCTGCCATGATACTTACATTGTAGCAGACCACCCAGATTCATGGAGACGTCAGTTCTACTCGAATAGCTTCTTGCCGAAAACCACTACCCTGTGAAACCGACTCCCGAGAGGATGCTTCCACAAACACTAAAATCTTAACCTGTTCAAGTCTAGGGTTAACCGTTACCTTCCACACATATCCGCATCTGTGCCTGTTACTCTATAACCCTCTAGCTTGAGTGGCCCCCGGGCCTTGTACAGAGTGAACGTTATTCCACGCCCATTGTTACGGACCACCTTCATTTCTTTCGTATTCCTTTTGTGAGATGTAAATTCTACTGGAGCAGCATCAACTCACGAGCCGCTGCCTTGTGGAAGCGACTCCCGCGAGGATGCTTCCCCGATCGTTACAATCTTAACCTGTCCAAGTCTAGGGTTAAACGTTATCTCCCCTTCCTATCCGTATAGACTACCTCTTAACCTAACACACTACCATGAGTGGCTCCCGAGCCTTGTTCAAGGTGAAACTTACTGGGACAAAAAGCTGTGGTTAGTCTTCATCTTCCACCTCTTGAAAGGACACCGCACATAAAAAGAGGAGAAGAAAAAGATGAAGATGAAGAAGACGATAAAAGAAGAAAAAGAAGAAAAAAACAGATGAAGAAAAGCAAAAATTTTTAAAAAAGAGGGAAAAGAAAAGAAGAAGAAAAAGAAGAAAAAAGAAGGAAAAAGGAAGAAGAGGAAAAATAGGAAGAAGAAGAAAAGAAGCAAAAACGAAGAAAAAGTAAGACGAAGAAGAAAACAAGAAGACGAAGGAGAAAGAAGAAAAAAGAAGAAGAAAAAGGAAGAATAGAAAAAGAAGAAGAAGAAGATGGATGAAAAAGGAGAAGAAGAAAAAGAATGAACAAAAGAAGAAGAGGAAAAAGAAAAAGAAGAAAAAAGAAGAGGAACAAGAAGAAAAAGAACATGAAGAAGAAAAAGATGAAAAAAGAAGGAGTATAAAAAAGAAAAAAGAAGAGAAAAACTAAGAAGAATAAAAATAAGAAGAGGAAAAAAGAAGGAGGAAATGGAAGAAGAAGAAGAAGAAGAAGAAGAAGAAGAAAAAGAAGAAGAAGAAGAAGAAAAAGAAGAAAAAAAAGAAGAAGAAGAAAAAGAAAAGATGTGGAAAAAGTAAAAAAAGAAATGGTAAAAAGAAGAAAACACAAGAAGAAAGAGAAGAGGAAAAAGTAGAAAAAAAGAAAGAAGAGGAAAAAGGAAGAACGATGAAGAAGAAGGAAAAAAGAAAAGGAAGGTAAAAAGAAGAAGAAAAAAGAATAGGAAAAAAGAAGAAAAAGAAGTGGAAAACAAGAAGAAGAAGAAGAAGAAAGAAAGAAAGAAAAAGAAAGAAAGATGTTTCATTGATTTTTGGTAAGATTAAATTTGGCTTTTAGCACACAATAATATGACAACGACATTTCTTTTTTTTTTTTTTTTGCTTAAAAGTAAACTTTCTTGTCAATCAAGAAACTACACTCTACTCAGCCATCTGCATTTTTGGGGAGTTACTTGAAAAATAAAATGTGATCAAGGTCACTGGCTAAATATCAAATTATCTGCTGACCTCCCAAGACTTGTATTGGGCAATCTCCAATATTAGCAAAAGAAACGAGACAAGAGTGAGGGAAGAAGCTAGCAACTGAGAAGGAGAGACAGATTTTGAATCATTCGAACAGTTGTCCTAATATTTGTCGCAGCTGGCATTATTTGTATACCTGACAATTCACCCATCGTCAGGGGTCCATTTTTTTTATCTGTGCTTTGAGTGTTAACTTACTTTTCGTTCCGGGTAAAACCAGAGTATAGCGTTTCGCTACCTGTTCATGACAGTGAGATATGAATAGATAGATAGATAGATAGATAGATATAAACAGATATATATATATATATATATATATATATATATATATATATATATATATAGAGAGAGAGAGAGAGATAGTAAACAGTAAACATCAACAGAATTAGACGATGAAAAAATAGACAGCGATGAACTGAATTAGATAGATAGATAGATAGATAGATAGATAGATATGAACAGACCGAGATAGATAGATAGATAGATAGATAGATAGATAGATAGATAGATAGATAATAGACCGATAAAAATTTATAGAGAGATAGATAGATAGATAGATAGATAGATAGATAGATAGATAGATAGATAGATAGATTAGATAGATGATAAAGATTTATAGAGATAGATAGATAGATAGATGAATAGATAGATAGTTGATAAAATTTATAGAGATAGATTAGATAGATAGATAGATAGATAGATGTTAACAGACCAAGATAGATAGATAGATATGAACAGCTCGAGATAGATAGATAGATAGATAGATAGATAGATAGATAGATAGATAGATGTTCAGACCGAGATAGATAGATAAATAGATAGAAAGAGACCGAGATAGAAAGAAAGAAAAAAAGAAAGAAAGAAAGAGACGAGATGAGATTAGATGAGATGACACAGTGTTATAATCAATGTTTATTGTGAAATAAATTAGCCACTTTTGTTTGTTTTGAGACGAGAAGTGTGAAATTTGTAGAAAACTAAAATTTGTCGACTACAAAATCAGCGGGAATAGAAATTTGTATTTTTCCCTTCAACTTGTCAGAAAAGACAATAAACGCACGCTTTATGTTTTCAATGCTTGGAGAAGGAAGGTACAACACTGGTGAAATAGCCTTTGTCAGTAGAAAGAGTAGCGTACGGAATTTTCTTTTTAGTAGCACAAAGCGAACACATTGTTTCCTTTACAAATCATTTCCAAATAATGTCGAATACAATGTAATGCAAATTTCTATACAAGATACAGTCATTTGGTTCATTCTTTCTCTTTCTTTGTCTAGTCTTTTTATTTCTTTTTTTTTTCTCTTTTTTTTCTTTTTCTTTTTCTCGTGTTGTCTGTCTTCAGTTTTCTTATCTCTTTCTTTCATTCTGAATATTTTTCTTTCTTTTTTTCTTCTAATTTTCTTGTTGGTTTTCTTTTTCCTTTCCGGCTTTCACTTTCTTTGTCTAGCCTTTTTTTTCTTCTTTTTTTCTTTCTTTTCCATGCCTTCTCCTTTTGCTTTTGACTTTCTTTCTTTTCCTTCTTGCTTTCCTCACTCTCTCGCTCGCTCTCGGGCAGTTTGTGCTTACAGTTTAGTTTAATTTCTTTTTTGTGTTTCTTGACTCTTTCACTTGCCATTTCTTTCTTTATGTATGTCTGTATTTTTAATTAAATTATATATATTATTTAATATATAATTTGATTTATATATTTATATATATATATATATATATATATATATATATATATATATATACGAGGGTCATTCAATAAATAAGGTGAATTTTTCGGTATAAGGGCTTCTAATACAGATAAAAACTTACTTTTTTTTATTTTTTTATTTTTCAACGTAGTCTTCCAGCACTGTCACACACTTTTCCCATCTGTGCACAAGCTCCCGTATTCCCTCAGCGTAAAAATCTTTGGACTGATGTCTCAGCCAGTCGCTCACAACACTTTTGATTTCATCGTCACTTTTAAACTTCGTGCCTCTCGTGAACGCTTTCAAGGGACCAAACAGGTGAAAGTCTGAAGGGGCAAGGTCTGGCCTGTAAGGGGGATGAGGGAGCAGTTCCCAGCCCGGCTCGTTGATGGTCTGCACCGTTTGTGTGAGGCCTTGCGTTGTCATGATGCAAGATGACTCCTTCTGACTGATGAACTCTTACGTTTGTTCTTTATGTCTTTCTTCACCTGCCTCAGCAGTTCACAGTAGTTCTTCTGTCAGACTGAATGAAGTCATTGACTAATTCGATCACCTCAGGAGACCTCACTTCTGTAGGCCTCCCAGGCCTGTCTTCATCGTAAACACTGCTCTGTCCTTCTTTAAACAATTTAGCCCACTTGTAGACATTTTTTGGCTGAAACATGTGGCACCATACACAGTTGACATTCTCCTATGAATTTCGTCTGGTTTGCACCCTTCAGCAACCAAAAACTTGATAACTAAACGTTGTTCAATCCTGGAGCATGCTTCTTGGTCGGCCATCTTTGTTAATCGCCAAAACACTCAAAGTTTATTTTTAATCTGCAAAAGAAATTAAATCCATGTGAAAAAAAGTAAAACAAAAAAAAATCAAAAAATTAAGCTTCTATCTGTATTAGAAGTCCTTATACCGAAAAAATTCACCTTATTTATTGAATGACCCTCGTATATATATATATATATATATATATATATATATATATATATATATATATATAATCTCATTTCCTCACATCTCTGAATTGATAAGGTCCACAAGAAAATCTTGTGGATTGAAATAGCTATTTTCTGAATTAAATCGTACGTGAAACCTTGTTACATCATGACAGAAAGTTTGAAAGTTAGAGAGGGCGAAGATCATCTTGAATAAGTTGGAAAACGAACCTGGAATAATACAGAATGAGATTCCGATTCTTAGCTCTGATTAATTAATGAGGAACGTGTTATTTTCGTTTATGATCGATTTCATCACAATTCTTCTGTTAGGCGTGGAGAGTAATTTTCCATTCTTATTGCTCAACGTGGAGTCCAGTAGTGTTACGAGGAATTCCAGTAAGATATCTTTAATCATTTCTAAAGTACAATGGTTCAAAGCTTAATCTAAGAAATGGACGATTTTGCTTTTACAAGATTTGGACAATTTTTCTGTTACACCCGGTATATATATATATATATATATATATATATATATGTGTGTGTGTGTGTGTGTGTGTGTGTGTGTGTGTGTGTGTGTGTGTGAAAAGACAAGAGAAAAATATACTTAGCTTAGTCGACGCGTTTCGTCATCTGACGGATTTTATCGAGTTTATCAAAGCAAATATGATGTTTCTATTTTGCAACAAGTATCTATTTTGACAGTTAATCAAAAGCTTAAATTTGAGAACGCTTATAAATATTCATCAGGTTAACTGATGAATTTAGGTGTTAGATCATAGATTACGTCATATAGCATCTTCGAAAGTAAATTGTTAAATTTAAACACGCTAATAAATATTCAGCAGCTCAAGTGAAATGTCCAGTCATTTAGATCTAAGATTAAGTCACGAGGCATCTTCGAAAGTAAACTTTTAGATTTAAAGACGCTCATAAATATTCAGCAGGTTAACTGAAATGTCTAGCCATTTAGACCTTAGATTACGTCATTTGGCATCTTCAAAAGGAAATTTTAAAATTTAACGAAGTTTATAAATATTTATCAGGTTTACTGAAATGTCTAGCCATTTAGACCTCAGATTACGTCATTTAGTATACTCGAAAAATAATTTATTTTATTTGATATGCAATATGACAGAGACGTTTTGTATTTCAAAACTTGAAATGAGAATGCCACCATCGGATATTTTCAAAATATCAATCTACGCTCTGTTTTTTTGTCTTTTTTTTTGGGGGGGGGGTCGCAATATTATCCCCTTTCCTGGAGGAATTACTACTTTCCCAAGGCAATATACACAACAAATGTGTTGAAAAATCAAACGAAAACGTCTAAATCCATCATTTCAACACGCTTGACAGAATTACTGATTAGACCGGCTAGGTCTCATCATTTTAAAGTCGAAACTGCTAGATATATTGGTCCTGATATGGCGGCTCGGTTGCAGTCACTTTCTCACCGCCGTAATGTTGCTGCTCTGTGCCTTTTTTTTTATAAATACTTTCATGGTAATTGTTCGGATGAGCTCTTCGCTATGGTGCTATGTTTTATTTTATCAAAACCCCACATTGATTTCGTCCAGTCAACTGATATTTCTGCCACATTTAGTGATTGGGGGGTATTACTAATATTATTTTCTTTAGATTCTTGTAAGTAGTTTTTGTATTCATATTGTAAATACTCATTCTGGCTAGTTTTTTTAGAATTGTTATTTTATTCCCCCTCCCCACAGAAAATGAATTGTAAATATGGGGACTAGTTAGTATTTTCATAGAGACAATGAGGTATTATGGTGATTGTAGTAAGAAAGGTATGTATGAATGTGTTGTTTTGGTGTAAGGAATATTGTTTGTACGATTTGGTCAGTGTTTGTGGCTAGCTAAGTTATAGTTAAGAAAGAGACCGTCCTTTCCCCAATCCCCTTTTCGGCCTTGTGCCACATTTCTGTGTATTAAACAATAAATATTGTTCTTCGCTATTGTCTTATGTTTTATTTTATCGATTGATTTCGTCCAGTTAACTGATATATATGCCACATTTAGTGATTGGTGGGTATTGCTAACATTATTTTGTTTAGTTTCTTGTAAATAATTTTGTACATTTTTGTAAATATTCATTGGTCTTAGATTTTTAAATTTGTTGTTTTATCCCGTTTCTCATGTTTTGTGATGTC